CTGTAAATGTTCATTAAAACTAATAAAATTTAATAAGAAAAAAGAAAAAAAGAGGGGGTAGCTTTGCAGTCACATTTGGGTTTGAACTTTGACTAGTTCTCTTACTTCCAGCAAATAACTTATTTTTCGGCTTAACTCAGTTTTCCTTAGCTATGAAATGGGCCTATTACTAGTCCTTATCTCATTGAAGTCTTAAGAGAATGAAACTAAACAATTCATAGAAATTGTCTGGATCACCATTCAGTTTCAGTAAATTGTTGCTGCTGTTCCCATCATCTTGCTTTTATTTCCACAGTGTGAGAGGGCGGGAGCACTAATTCCCCATGGGAGAGACTGCTCATAGGAGAAATGATTGCTCCTGGCTGAAATGAAGGGCCCAGACTATCATGTGATTGTGTTCATTCTAGAATGAATGTGACTTTTTTATTCCAGAGTTAGGTTGCACTATAGTCCCACTGAGCACTTTTCACTCTCTCACCAAGACATAGAAGGTTCTATGTATATAGAAATGTTCTCTGAACCAGAAAAAAGGAGCCCCAATTCATGGCCTCACTAAACCTCTGTGTTTTAAAAATCAGAATAATCCATGCCTTGTCAGTTGATCTAAATCTCTATGTATTTTTGTTATTGTGTACTGTAGAGTCAGAACCAACCCATAGCTGACTGTCTGGCGGGTTTACAGAGGCAATTAATCCCATGGGAGGAGATTGCCCATCCTCCCACGGAGCAGCCTGTGGTCTTGAACCTCATGTCTTGGGATTGCAGCACAGCTTCTTGCCACCAGGGCACCAGAGCTCCCTAAATCTCTATATAGAGAGGGGAGTTTTTCCATGTAGAATATGTCTTTCTGTGAATGGAATCAGCCAATTTTACATTTATTCTATAAAACAAAATATAAAAAATAGTTTCCTCCCCCCCCCCTCCATACTGTAGCCTTGTGCAGAGGCACTCTGCTGCATCCATGGAAAACTGTCAGTAGATGAAGTGACAAAGTAGCCATAAGAATGCAACTCGGACATAGCAATAATCGTGGTAATGGTGCTGCACTGAGTGGCCCTTCTTCCTGTTATACATAAGGTCACCATGAGTCACACCTGACTCCCTGGCAGCTGATAACAGCAGCATGAGCTTATGTCCTTTAGCTGATCATGACAAAGTCAAAACAATAGCACCAGCAAGAAAACAATAGTAAATACCAGCCAACAATCTTGACTTCTTTCCATAAAATTCTAGGCATTATTTTAAAGCTTTTATGTGGATTATACCATTTAACAGAACAGTCCCATGAGGAAAATTATTTTTCTATTAATTAATAATATTATCTGTGTTATCCTCCTGGAAGCAGGAGCGGCATCCACTTCCAAAATGGCTTGCCTCTGGAAACTCTATGTATGAACAGTGCACAGGCTGTTCGTTCATAGGGTTGCTGAGTCGTCTACGACTCGACGGCATTAAACAACAACATGTTATCCTCATTTTACCAATGATGAAACAGGCACAAGGTAGTTAAGTAACTTCCCAGTGGCACATGTAGCTACAGAGTAATGGAGCCTGAATATGTGTCTACTGATTGCATCTGTAGGACATTTGTTTCATGACTAAAAATTGTCATATTATGTTAACTAGGAACTAATAGGAATTTTAGGGAGCTCCAGTGGCTTAGTGGTAAGGAGTTGCACTGCAAAACCAAAGGCACATGGTTTGAATCCACCATCTACTCTGTGAAAGAAAGATGGATGGTGTCCTCCTTTGCGATTTAACAGCCTCTTAAAATTTGCTGGGGGGTCAGCTAAGAGTCATTTCCAACTTGATAGCACAAACAACACAACCATATCAATAGGAATTTTAAATCTTTCTTTTTAAATTGTTTTCAGTCAAACATTCTTCTGAGTGGTATAGTACTGGTCTGTCAATTTGCTGTGCAAGTGTAACCCATGGTTGCTGTGAGCATAAACACTGTGACACTGATGCGGCAAATGTGATAATTGTTTTCCATGGTGGATAGTGTTTGGTGGAGCTCCCAAATTAAATCAAGCTTGGAAGCAGGAGTGGCATCCACTTCCAAAATAGCTTGCCTCTGGAAACTCTATGGACTTAGAGAAAAGATGAAAGGTTTTTGTGTTCAAGACTTTCATTCATAGGGTCACTATGAATCGTCTACAACTTGATGGCACTTAACAACAACAATAACAACATGTGTACATACACATGATATGAACCTCTCTGATTTTTCTCTCGTAAGTTTCATACACAGATATGAACCTCTTTGATTTTTCTCTCGTAAACACAAGTTTGCACATGGTACCAGACCTGGAAGTTACTTTCTGTTTACGATCTCACCTTCTTCCTCATCATCTGCATGTATAATTGTGCAAATGGCTCCCACACATTGGATATTTCTGTTCTCCCCTTTGGAGGGAATGCTGATACACAAAGGATTCTTTTCATGCTCCTGGTTTTGGATTTAAATCTCTCTGGCCAAGCGCTTCCTATTACACTACTGCTGCTGACCAGCTGTGAGGCCAGAGCAAGTTACATAACCTCCCTGATTTTTATGTAAAATTGAGATAATTCTACAAGTATCTGTCTGCTAGATCAGTTGGGATGATGAAATAAAAGTTAATTTGAAAATCTCTGGCAAATACATTTCCAGATCTTTCTTTTCCCACAAAAGAGTATATTTCCCTTAAAACTTCTGAGAGTGTCTCCTCTGTGTCAGTTATTCCAAAGAAGCAAGTCATACAGAAATATTTTTAATATGTCTTATTTGATAAGTAATGGCTTTTAAAAGCAAATGTATTTTCTCTTCTCTTTATGTGCTCTGTGATTTGGACTCAGACTCTTTGCTCCCCAGTAATATTATCTTCTTTTCTTGTCATAGACACATCCCACCCAAACTGCATTCCTATCCAGCGTTGATCTTCATACTCACTGTTCCTATCAGCTCATGTTGCCAGAGGCCATTGCCATTGTTTGCTCACCAAAGCATAAGGAGTAAGTAGAAGTATGAGGGGAGCCCAGGGGAAACTTCATTCGGGGCTGCTAGGTTCAAATGTATCCTCTTACTTGGTTGTGGCATTTGGAGGTTTCTGTGTACCTGTAGCTCTGCAGACTTTGTAGCTTATATAATTCTTACTGGGACAGAATTACTGGTTCTTTTGGTGGCACAGAGGCTGCATGTTGGACTGCTATCTGAAAGGTTGGTGGTTTGAATCACCTAGCCACTCCTTAGGACAATAATGAGGCACTCTGCTCCCAGCAAGATCTACATGCAGTCTCAGAAATGATCCAGCAGCTCGAAGTTCTGGAATCTTTGGCTAGGCTTTAAGAGGGAAGTTGTTCTGTTTTGCCTTCAAAGTTCTTTATTCTACTATGCTATTATTTCCTGTTGTAAGAAATGTTGCAAATTGAGCTTAATTACTTCCAAAACTATTTTAGCTTTGGGAAGCCATGACTGCTGTAGGTGACTAGCTAGGGTGATGAGCATGGGACGTGGATTTGTATTGAAATCCCAGCTCCATTTATATTAGGGAGCGCTGATGGCCTGGCTGGTAAGGGGTGCGCTGCTGACATGAAGGCATGCAGTTTGAATCCACCAGTTGCTCAGTGGGAGAAACGCTGTCTTTTCTGTGATTTATTGCCTCTGAAGACCCCCCTGGAGAGCTAGCTGTGAGTTGGTTCCAACTCACTGGTACATAAGAACATGTCCATGAGCAGGATGGCTGACCACTGAGCCTCAGCGTCTTCTACCTGTCCATACCTGGTAGGATACAATCAGATGACAGTCTGTGTAACAGAAAACCAGAGCAGTCACCAAGGAATTGTTTCTGATGCCTGTCATTCCCATAGGTTGCAGAAATAACTGTGCTCAATAATGTTTCGAGGTTGTGATCATTGGAAAAGTATACCCAGGCTTCTCAGGTCTAATCCAAAGGTGTTTCTCAGATTTAACCCCCAGCCTTTCCAAATATGGCCAAGAGCTTAACCTCTTATAGCCTAGTGGTAAGAAGCTGCACTTCCAACCTGAACGCATGCAGTCTGAATCTACTGGCTGCTCCGCAGAAGAACAAACAGTCTCCTCCTGTGCAATTTATGGCCTCTGAAAACCCACTGGAGGGTCTGCTATGGGTTGGTTCTGACTCAGTGGTATGCAACAACAACAGGGGGCCCTGAACATAGTTCCCAGAGCCATAGCCAATGTACAGTTAATGTTTCCTGTTACAAACAGTGTTAGCAACAGATGGAGGAAATAGCTACCACGTGTGGCTTCCTCCCTGCAGGCCTCTCCTTTACTCTACAGTCTCACGCCACAGCTCTGCTGCCTCTTCCTCATTCCAATCCTGCAGGTGCTTGGAGATCGCACTGCCTCCTACACCCACCTACTAGGCTTCTCCTTTGGCCAGTCATTGTCACGTGCCAGGAAACTCATAGCTGACCCCTTGGTCAGTTTTTGGAGATGGTAAACCACTGAGGGAGAGATTACTTCTCTTTTGAGGAGCACCTGGTGGATTCGAAACATATGCCTTCCAACTCAGCAGTGCAGTTTCATACCACTAGGCCACCACAGCTCCAAAATCACAAACAAACAAATAAACAAAAAAACACTCAATATTTCCAATGAGTCTATTCTGGTTCATAGTTTCCCTGTAGGATATAGTCGAGCTGTCCCACGGGGGTTTCCAATGCTGTAATCATTAAGAATGGAGGCTGTCACATTTTTCTAACACAGAGCAGAAGGTGGATTCGAACTGCTGACCTTTTGATTAACAGCTGAGCACTGAACCACTGTCCAACCTGGGCTCCTTGATCATCACAAACCTATAAGCTGGATCAGCCCTCCATCTGCTTACTGAGGCTGCAAGTCTTTACACGAGGACTCTGTTCATCTTTGTCACTGCCAAACAGTGGCTTCAAACTGCCAGCCTTCTGTTAGCAACCCAGCATGTGATGCTTCAAAAGAAGGATGAATGAAACACTGTGATGTTATGGCTTTATGGTGTCCATTTGAGGAATATGCATGTTTCATGCCCTAAATGATTGTTAATGTGTTTACCTCTTGTTCTTTCCTGGGCCTTAGCACTGGCATCTTCAGGCTCACCAACGCTGGCATGCTTGAAGTTTCTGCTTGCAAAAAGAAGGGCTTTCATCCACACACCAAGGACCCCAAGCTCTTCAGTGTGAGTCGACAACACTGGCATTTCCTGCAGGTGTTTCTCAACCCCAGCCTCACCAGCCCTCTCACGATGCAACACTGTCCTGCTTTGCTGGAACCTTTCAATAACTGAGAATTAGTAAATCTTTAAGCTTTCTTGATTTATGATTTATTGCTATTGTATTTTATATCCAAGAAAAGGTAGGTACTTCTGTAGCAAAACACATTATACATTACCTTTTCATTTGTGTATCTGTGTGCCACTTAAATAAAGTCTTCATCAGTCTAAGCAGGCCAGCAAGTACTAAAGAAAAAAGACACAAAGTGTCTCATAAAGTATTTCTACATGGTATGACCAAGCTTGTTTTTTTGGTTTTTTTTTCTTTTAGAACAGTGCTGGAAGCTATCATCATATTCTTGATTAGTTCTATAAAGTTCAACAGAAACATTGTTTGACTACCTCTTTTAAAAAAAGAATTAATTTCTTGGCAAATTCTTTGTCTCCAGCATTAAAGCAACATTATTTTGGAGTCAGGATCCACAGAAAATGAGAATCACATTTCAACCACTGTAAATATTTTGTTGTTGAATGAAACAAAATATTTGCTCTAGTTGGAGAAATAAATACCTTTCAAAAAAGGAATTCATACCCCACCCTAAATAGAATCATGTGTTAGACATTATGATGTAAGACCAATTTTTTTTCTTTCCTAGATATGCAAGCATGTTTTGATAAAAGACATAAAAATCATTGTGCTGGATCTCAGGTGATATGCTCCGAAGACAAGTACTGTCCGCTCCAGAACCTGCCTGAGGGCCTGGGAGTGCTGGATTTTCTTAAGATGTTTCCAGAAATGACTGATATTTTATATTTATACATTTTAGATCAGAAGGTTTGATATTTATTGCTTTGCACATTTTGAACTTTTCTTTTTGAGTTGCTCTGTCTCAAGAGAGGCCATAAAGTTGTTAAATCGATACCTATTCCTGTACACAAATACTGTGACCTGCTAATAAATTGTCCTGCAAACAACTCAATGTCTAGTGATGTTTTTGCAAATTATTTTTAGAGCTTTGGAAGTTTTACTGTATTTTTAAAATACTCATATAAAACATACTTCCAGATACTGACTAGTTCCTCTCTAAGAAATTCGGAGGAGTTCATCTCTAAGCTAGATTATCTCCTTCTGCAGCATTTTCCTGTGGTAGAAGAAGGTGAGGGAGCTCCAGTGACGTAGATGTAAGGAGCTGCACTACCAACCCAGAGACCCGTGTTTCACATCCAGCAGCTGCTGCATAGAGAAACAGAAATAGTCTCTCCCTGTACCGTTTACTGCCTCTGAAGATTGGCTGACGGGGCAGCAATGGATTGGCTCTGACTCTTTGGTTACATAACAACAACCAGTAACAAGAAGGCGAGAGAGCTCTAATGGCGTAGTGGTAAGTAGAGGTGCTGCCATACCAGAGACATGCAGTTCACATCCCAGCTGTTCCACAGGAGACAGACGGGCAATCTCTTTCCAAGTGATTTACTCCCTCTAAAAACCCACTGAAGGGTCAGGTGTGAGTGAGTTCCCACTCAGTGGTGCACACAACAAAAACCAAAGAAGGAGGTGAGCAGTTTTCCCTTGTGAAGATAAACTTGGTTGCCAAAGATAGAAAGTATCAGTGTTTTCAGAGTTATCCAGCCCCAGCTTCTGAGATCTGTGTGCAGTGAGTCATGACATCAAATGCCAAGTCACGCATTTTTTTCCCTCAGAGCCACTGGTAGATTCAGACAGTCAGAGAGGTGCTGCCTTTGGGTGAACAGGGTAACTTCGTACAGACTAGGCCACCACAGCTCTCAACACCACTGGCTAGGACAGATAAAATCTGCACAGCTTAGCCAGGCTGTCCTCAACATCTCAGCCCTTTACAACATCTTCGTGTTTTAATATTCTTTTATTATTATTACTATTATTACTAATGTTGATGAAAATTTACAGAGACTTTAGATTTCCATTCATTCGTGTTGTATTTTCTCCCTGCCCACCCCTCCCCCAAGTTCACTCTTTTCTTTGAAAAGTAAAAGAAAAATTCTTTCATTGTTTTACAGTCCCTCCCTCCAAGTCCACTTCACTCTGCAGCCTTCATTCTGGACTCCTGTCATGACAATAATACCCAATCATATATCCCTTTTAAACAATTCTCTCTCTTATCTGTTTCAATGCAGAATACATAATTTGTCCCATCTTTCTCAGTCTCCCCCCAACCCCGATGTCAGTCCCATTTTATACCACTGGCACTATACAGTATTTGTTCTATGGTGTCCGAGATATTTCACTCAGCATAATGTCTTCCAGGGTCACCCATTTAGAATAATATTGCATGAGTTCCTTATTTTTAATGCAGCATAGTAGTCCATTGTCTGAATATACCACAGCATCTCTATCCATTCATTTGTTGATGGGCACTTACGTTATTTCCAACTCTTTGCTATTGTGAACAAAGCCATGATAAACATGAGTATGCATGGTGTTTTAATATTCTTGAGGAAAGGAAAATGTTGTATTATTCATTCAAATAAAAGTGAGTGCTGGGATTCAAGATGACTGAGAAATGAGTGAATCTTAGAGTTCAAAGACACAGCAATAGTGTAAATGAGAGGTGGCCAATGAGAAAACTGAATAGTGAATGGTTTCTAGAGATAGAATGGATTCAGCAGGAAGCTGAGAGCATCTCACTTCTTGGATTTCAAGAAAGAAAAGATATAACATGTCTATGCAGAATAAGTGTGTCTCTTGCATAGAGAAGCAGTTTTTCACTAGAAGGTATATTAGGTGCTCCTCTTCCCCAGAAGGAATGGAAGCATTCCTGGCTCTTCCATTTTCTTCCAATGGGAAGCAAAACCTCAAATTTGAGATGACATTCAAAAAGTTGTTTTTGAAAGAGATGTGATTTGTTACCAAGAACAAGCACAGCTAGTCAGACTTCCCAGAAGGACCTTGTAACTGAGCTGAAGAACTTTGGAGACGGTAAACCAGCACCTCCACCTTTGTCAGGCACAGTGAGTCATTCCCTAGGCCCACAGCACAGAGCTTCTGACCAAGGCGTCATCAGAACTGTGCTCACTCCTTGGGAAGGTCAGCCAGGAGTCCATCTGTCTGAGGCCAGACTGTCCTGTGGAGGATCTCATTCACAGCAGGCGAGGCCTACTCCGAGTATGAATCCTTTCCAGAGCCCGATTTTCCACAGGCACAGCTAGCTTCTCTTCATGTTTTCTTTTGAGAATGAACTAGTTAAGCTTGGTGATTGTATACTTTTCCCCATAATCTATTTTTTAAATAAGCAAGAAGACACACACCAGTGTAACTGTTTCTCCCTGGATAATTCATTGGTGTTGATTATTTTCAGGCTGTGCAACAATTCTCATCCTCCTTTTCTGAATTACTCTCCTTCATGAGCACAAACTCGCTGCCCCCTGAACTTCCTAGCTAACCTTTCCTGTTCCTGTTGTTCATTAGATCCTGTAAGGATAATTCTTTAAAAGGCTCAAGGCAAACATTCTTTCCTAATTAAGCCAAAATATTATTTGGCTTAAAGCCGTTTGTTTTTTCATGTGTCCATACGCAAGTAGGGAGATCTGATGGCTTAGTAGTAAGGAGTTGCACTGCCAGACCAAAGGCATGCAGTTCAAATCCGCTAGCTTCTATGAGGAAGAAAGATGAGCAGTCTCTTCCTATGTGATTTACTGCCTCTGAAAACCTGCTGAAGAGTCAGTTCTAAATTAGTTTTTACTTATGGCACATTGCAACAGTAATGGGCATATTGTTAGGAGCCAGTCCTTGGAAAAGGACATCATGCTTGGAATGGTGGAAGGTCAGTGAAAGAGAGGAGGACACCGAATTAAATGGATCTATACAGTGGCAGTAGCAGTGAACTTGAGTCAATCCGGGATGGTGAGGATGATGCAGGAGAGATCAGGGTTCAGATCCACTGTTCATAGGGTCAGTAAGTGTCATGTTTGACTCAAAGGCACCAACAACAGCAACAATTAGCTTAGTAGGAAGTTCTGACAGCAAAGTCGTAAGGAGTTGTGCTGCTCACCCAAAGGCACAAGGTTTGAATCCAGGAGATACTATCTGGGAAAAGAATGGGCAATCTCCTGTTCAGTATACAGCCTCTGAAAACCCACTGGAGGGTCAGCTATGAATCAGTTCAGACGTACAACATGTACATAACAACATTAGCTAAGTGAGTGCCTGGAACTTAGTAGGCAGGATATATTTGTTCAAACTGAATTTGAAGTTATTTTTTTTCTTGTCAGTGGAGCACTTGTAGCCTTGACAAAAATCATTCTCTTTCTTTATAGACCTTATTGCTTACAGAAGACTATCAAAGGATTTCTATGGCTTCAACCACTAGTATGCTTCTGGGCTGCTTTTTTAGTAAGGTTTTCACATACACACACACACACACACACACACACACACACACACGTAAATTAAAAAATGACAATACCCTAGCAACATAATTTGTGATATATGATGAGGTAAATTTGGTGTATTTCTACACAAATCATGCATATGTTAAGTGGCTCTTTGTAAACCACACAACTCCCTTACGTGTATTGGTCTGCTATGCCTGCGTATTATTGATGTGGGTGTCGAGTATGTAAACAGTACAGGATGTCAGCTAGAAGCCACTTAGTAGAATTAGCTCAGTAGCTGTTGTTCCCATCCTAATTTAGTGCACCCTGCAGTCCACCCAGTAGCGCTGAGAATAGTGGCAGAGGAACGCTTTGTCCTGAGACTGAGGTTCCTGTTGTGAAACCAGCTGAAATGGTCCCAGATGTGGAAAGCAGATGTTTGTCTTCAGGCATTTCTTGCAGACTTACCTAGAATGAGAATGCTTAAGAAATGACATGCACTTGGCAATGACAAAGGTAAGCTGGTACCGTGGAATCCCCAGGAAGGAAGGTAAGCACAGGTTTACTTGTGCTTACTTACTAATCTGGTAAATGAGCCAGCCGTCAGGAAATCAAAAGATGAATTGCACTGGGGAAATCTGCAGTCAGGGACCTCTCCAGAATACTGAGAAGCAACAATGTCAGTCTAGAAACTAAGGTGCGCCTAATCCAGGCCATCGTCTTCACAATTACTTGCTATGCATCAGAGAGGCTAAGAATGATATAAGAAGAATTGATGCCTTTGAATTGTGGTGTTGGAGAAGAGTCGTGGACTGCCAAGAGAACAAACAGGTCTGTCTTGGAGAGGATGAAACAAAGTTTCTCCTTGGAGACTAGGATTTTGAAGCTCCATCTCACATACTTTGGGCACATGGCCATGAGGAACTGGCACTTGGAAAAGACATCATGCCTGGAAGGGTGGAGGGACAACGCAGAAGAGGACCCCGGATGAGATGGATTGATACAGTAACTGGGGTAATGGGAGTAGGTATGTCAGGGTGTGGCTCAGAATAGGGCAGTGTTCATCACTGTTGTACATAGGGTCACTGTGAGTTACAGGCAACTTGACAGCATATAAAATCAAGTTTTACATGGGGTAAAAAAAACCCATATAAAACTGCCTTTTGATTGCTGAGAGCTCTATGGCTGTCCAGGGTT